AAGACTAAGTTAGTCTTAGTCTTATGGATACTGAAACAAAACCCTGGGCATAATGTCCAGGTAAAAAGCGAAGGAAGAACCCGCGAAGATGAACCGGCCTAAGATAAACCGCTCCGTTTGTTGGGAAATTCAGAAAGTCCATCCCACTCACGTGAAACGATCTCCCCCCGTGACATTGGGAAGTGGGCGGGGCCATGAGGTTGTATGTAGGTTATGTGTGACGTAATTGTCACATGTAGGTCTAGCGGGTCTAGATTTGGGCTTATGCTATAGTAACTTCACCAACGGAAAGGCACCGGAGAACGATGGACTCGCTTTAGTCTACTTTATTCGTTCCAGTCGCACACGACACATATAGCATAATACAAAGTCATACCAGATACCACTTAATAGGGGAGATACACAATTTCAGCCAGGAGGGGACAATTTAGCGATTGGTCCAGAAAGGTAAAGGGGGAATACAATTTAAGCACTTACTTACCGGCAACAGTTGCTTGCCGCGATACTGATCGTTACCGGGATGGCAACTGAGAACTTTTAGACTTAACTACATTTACAGAGTTACAAAGTATATGAAGATGGCTGGCACGCCGCCCACGTGGAAGTAGCTCGGCTCCGGACCGCAGTGGTCGACCTCGGGATTCCTCTCGGTTCTCTCGACTGACCACGCGGTCTCGGAGTTCGTCTTAAGTCAAGAAAGTAATTTACATAGATAGGGCCGAAAAGGATGATTTGGGTTTTGATTCGCTTCCACGTGGATAGGGCGTAACTGAGTGACGTAATGTTTTGCCACTCAGCACTGGGGAACTTCTATGTGTGACGTCATATTTTGCTGACGCAGGGAAGGGGGAGTTTCATTTGCTACACCATCCCCCCCCACAAGGCAATGATGCGTCCTCGCATCAAGAAACATCAAACAAAGTAAGAAAAACTACATGGTAAAGCGACAACATTGGTGCATAACATTATAACAATAATAACAAGAATGAAAAAAAAAGGTAGGGCCAGAAGTTGGCTACTGTAGCAAGGCAAGACATCATACATCTCGATTGAGCGCAATTAACACAACCTAACAATCAACAATCAGGTATAGCAATACATCATAACAACATCGTCATGATCGGGCGAGCGCATCAATACGTCATGTGCAATCGCTTCCTATTTTAAGCAGTTCCAGGTGTACACAAAGACATTAAACTCAGTCTACAAGTTAAAAAAAACATCTATTATTAAACGCAGTCTACAAGTTAAAAAAACATCAAACTCAGCGTACAAGTTAAAACCCATCAAACTCAGTACGATCAAACACAGTCGGAAGGAACATATTTGAAAAAATGAACGCACAACAATGTGTTCGCAACGTAAATCACGTTGATTAACTTACATAGCACATAAGTTCAACTTAACTAGGAAAATGTCATTACTGACGGTGACCTTTCAGGGCGTGTACAGAAGACGGGCAGGCAGACAGGGGACTTGAAACGCGGCCGAAAATCAGGGCAAAGCCCAGCACCAAGTGACGAGAGAGAATGACAGACTCCTTTACTTTTGCGCCGGAATTATTGGCCATAGATCCCACCTCATCACAAAACTCACATAGATAAAATAAAGACATTCAGCACAGTTTTGAAAGTACGCCGAAAACTACATAGCAAATAAAACAAGACGCTCTCAACTTTGGACGTTCTTAACTTTGGTTCCCTACGGTTTTGTTTCAGGGGACCTGGACCCCAAAGGGAATTTCAACTCAGAAACAGCTCAAAACTCGAACTCAAAATACAAACAACAATGCGGGATTTTGAACGGGTAGTGCAATGAGTGGCGACAACCACGGTCACCCTGTGTACCGCTGGCACCTCGGTGCGGCGTCGTCAAGTCGCCTACAGGTGGAAGGGGACGCGTCGGAGGTCTGATAGCGTCAGGTACCATACTTCAACATGTTCTTACCAACTGTCCTACCGCAAAATCTGTGATAGGGGTCATGTATGTACGTATTTAAAGGCAGAGGAAAGTTTCAACGGGGGGAAAGGAGGGACGGAAAATCTTTCCTACCCACCCCGAGGGTTCCCTGAGAGACCTGTTCCCCTTGTTGAGGCGGAAAGTGGGCGTGGCATAGGAGGAGAACTCCGGCCCTAGGACAGAGGTGGATGGACCGTAATTGACACGTGCCAGCGCAGACAACCAGTGGGCCCGCGTTCCACGGGAGGGGAGACAACGCAGAAACGGCAGGGACAAGGGTGACAAGGTGCACTAAACCGAAACAGAGATCCCAATCTGAAAACGACTGTATACAATGATATAAGTCGCCGGGTTCCTGGTCATAAAGGCGCGGAACCGGCACCGAGATAAACAGTAAAGACGACAGGGGTTGTCGTCGGGTTTCGGATTATAATGGCGCGAAACCTACGCCTGAGATGTAAAAGGACTAACAATTTAGACGACCTGGAGTGCCGCCGGGGTTCTAATTATAATGGCGTGAACCCGACGCCTAACAATAAAGACTAACAAATGAGACGACCTGGAGTGCCG